TGAACATGAAAAACACATGATGGCTTTGGATGGTGAAGGTCAACCGACTGATGATGGAGCCTTTTACGATGGGTATGCATCTCTGTTCACGATGGACGATGCTGAACAGCCAGGGGGAGGTGACATGATGGATGATGAGCTGACCAAGGGACATCTTGAGGAAGGCAAGGCTTCTGACCGACTTTTGTCTAAAAGGGAAACTGACATTGTTATATATATTATTTAGTTTAATATGTTATGTGATGAATTGCTAAAACAGGTGATGGCGGTGACACTGCCCCTACTGTGTCATACTCGCCTACGTTGAACCTTGGGTGGTGGGATGAAAAGGCTGGGCCCAAGTTGTGCATTCGTGTTCGTGTGTTGTTTGTTGGCCTGGCAATCACCTTCTTTGGCAACATTGGACGCCACAACAGTTTGACTCTTCAGGAAGAGGACAAGACTTCAGCTTTGGTTCCAGACCAGGAAGAGGACAAGACTTCAGCTTTGGGTCCAAACCAGGAAGAGGACAAGACTTCAGCTTTGGGTCCAGACCAGGTGCGAGTCTCTTTTAACTTGTCAATGCTGTTTGATCAACTGCATCTTGATGACTAGGTGGCACCTTCACCGACTGCTCGTGATCTGTCAAAGGCAGGCATTTTGTCTGTTCTTGTTGTTGGTCTGGGGTGTTCATCCATTTACCTTGCAGGAGTTTGATGAAGCAAAAGCCAAGAAGGACCATTTGCCGACAAGTTCTGCTCCCTCACGTGCTGCTAAGGCGTCTACGGCGAAGGCTAAGGCTGTGATGACAAAGCCTGGAGCCAAACCAAAAGCAAAGGCATCCGCTGCAAAGAGTGCGCCTGTGAAGAAAAAGGAAAAGAAGACTGAGGATTGCTATTATTGCTATTTCTATAACGCAGGTGATTGTAAGGAACATTAAGGAACAATTGGGCCCTTATTGTTCCAGGAGACCGCCATGTGGACGATGGAGAAGTTGAAAAAAACTCTGCACAGTGCTGCGACCTGAGTTTCTTTTCCTGTTTAGCCAAGTTCTCTTCAATTCTGTTGAAATATGTTGAAATTGAGGCCTACTGCTGTGGGTGGAAGGCTTGTCAGCGCAGTGGGAACACAGATCCTGCTGCTATGCGGGAAGCTGGTAATGACTCCCGCCGCCGGTGCTTGGGAGAATTGAGGAAGGCTGGCATTCCTGTGGCTCAGGATTTTATTCTTCCCAACTGAGAATCCAAGTGAGATTCGATGTTCCTGTGGCAATTGGAAATTGCTACATTGATGTTTGAATTTTGGGTGCTTTGCGCGTGTGTACCTGCGCGACCAGGGGCAACACCAGGGGAAAATGTGTCATTGTATGCTCATGCTCTATTTGGCAGTGTTTGACAACTCTTGTCGTTGAAAGCTGTTCATGGTCCATGCATGGTCCAATGTTTTTTTTCGCATGGCCAGGTGAGATACCAACACGATGCTTTGAACCTGTTGGAGCGTGAAAGGAAAAATAAGTGCTTGGGGTGGATGGATGTGTGTGTATATCACCTTGGAGAAAACCATGCGACCACACATTGCCACGTGTTTGACCCTCCATGACTCAGCATTTTTAAGCACCCAGTTGCTAACTGGAAAACACCCACTTGCAATTAGAAATGCTTAATTATATTCATAATTATATATAAAATCTAGTATAGTATGTCATCGACGTTGACGGTTGCTTTAATCAGACATCCATGTCGAGATGGTTGGCCATCCAGGTATACATACGGTTCTTATTTGCCACCAAAATACTTCTACCTTCTACCCCTTTCTTGGTCCTTTTGCTAGCACCTTCGGTATCCGAAGCGAGGACCCCAACGGGCAGCCAACAGGTCACATTCATGTTGACCTGTTTGAAGTCACCGAATCGTGCTGCACGTCGACGTGCAGCCCGTTGACGTGCAGCCCGACTTCGTTGTAGGTGTGCCCGTTGGAGCGAAGTCGGGCCCGCTGGAGCTATGAAAACACATGGTCAAGTTTGAGGTCACTGGCCCAAAAGAAACCCAAGGGGACACTTCAAATGGCAGTTGTGTTGAAGGCAACATCTTTCTCATGTTTCATGCTTGCACACATCACCAGACACAGAAAGTGCTCCAGCGGCTTTTTTGGGGGGGCACCGAAGCCCTTCCCCAAAAGAACTCCGAAAAAAGGCTCAGAACCGGCGATAGCGCCTGCGCAGACTTCAGGAGTGGTCTCAGACTTGGTCTTTGGAGGATGGATCGTTGGACTTGGCCTTGGGCTTGGCCTGGGACGGCGATCAGGGACCCATCATCCTGCATCATCGGCTGGGTGCCAAGGGCATCCCGGAGATTGCAGGGCACACTGAGAGGCGGGTGATGGTTCAATGATGTGGATGGGGAGAAGGCACAAGGGCTGCACCAAATGCCAAGGCCGAAGGCGATCCTCCACAACTCACCTTAGTTGTTTCCTATTCACGGGATGAATATATGATGAACCATGATGAACCCCACTCAACGCTCATCAACTACGGCCATCTTCAACAATTCTTCCGGTGGGTTGAAACGACCAACGAACCGTATGACAACGTACCTAGCCGGTAGCCGGGGTACGCAGGTTGCCTCCTCCAGCCCCACCTGCAAAACTAAGAATCCGGCTAGGCACCTGGAGCTGGCCCATGGCATTCGGACCATTCCGCAGCTGTCCGATGGGCAAAAGCTCTCTGCCGTGGTGTGCGTGAGCGCTATCCGATGGTGCGCTGCCGCTTGGCGACATTCATCGAAACTGGCCTTCGATGACATCCGCTGATCATGAAGGTAGGAAATCCCTTCAGGTGTGTAATATGAATTGTTTTGAATTGTCCCTCCCAACGGAAGCATCTCTTGGCTGGGAGGACCTCCGGCTTCTGTTGCATGGCTTCTGTTTGGGGTCGTCTCGGACTAGTAGCACACTCCCTCTACACATTATGACCGTAAGCATTCTGCTTCCTCAAGGCTCAAGAACCAAGGACGGGCTGCAGCTACAAAAATGACTGCTAGCCTACACTTCACCGGGTGTACATGGTGGTCACTTTCCCACCCCCTAGAGACAACGAAACCAAGACTTGCGCCATTCGCACCATGTTTCGCAGGAAGCTCCGCCCTGGCGGCCTCGCGAGATACGCAGGATTGAGGTTTGACGCGGCGCGGGGCTCGCAGCGGGGGTCGCTCGCGCGAACCGGGCAGTGGACCCTGGAGCATCGGTGGAGCATCGGGTGCTCGAGTGGCAGAAGTGACGAAGTGACAGATCCTGACCAATCAGGGGCGGTTAAACCCGCTGGCCATGTGGGGTCATGGTTCTAGGGATCAAACAAGCCAATGACAGATAGATATGAAGTTATGATATCTGATTAGTCATACTCTCACTCTCATGCCCACCAGGGTTAATAGGACCCACCAGCACCACCCAAAGGGTGCTTGTTAGACTCCCTTGACCAATAACATCAATAACTATATACCCATGACGAAAGCGAAAAAACAATGAGCAAGTGTCTAGGCTGAAAAAACGGCGCAACATGTACGGACATCCACAGGCTGGTGCTGGCAGAGATTTTTCAATCGCTTTAACATGCAAGTCGCTCAAAGGTTGTGACTATCCCAACACGGGGGAGAGACGAGACACGGGTTATCGCAACTGCATCGATTGGACAATGGTGGAGAGAGAGGAGAGAGAAAGAGAGATAGAGAGAGAGAGAGGGAGGGAGGGAGGGAGGGAGGGGGAGAGAGTGCAAGCAGGGTTCAAAGTGGAGTTTTGCTTCAGTTCATCCAGGACAGACTAGATAGGAAAGTGCCGAACTATTCAAAGCTGGGGAAGATGAGGAAGCAGGCTTCCCGTGTGATGTCCTTGTTGGAACTGACTCATGTGCACCTATAGCTGGTGTAGTCGAACCTCAAAGAAATGCCAGCAGCACGGGAGGCGGAAGTGCCTTGCTGGTCTTGTGAATTTCAAGGAGTGACCAACAAAACCCGGTCCACTGCCCAACCAAAGAAGAACCGTCCACTGTTGCCAACAAAAAGTGTTGGCAGTTGGGCGTTTCGTAATGCAATTCAATGAAGTCGCTGTCAGCCGAGAAAGTCAGCGTCGCGACTCTTTGAGCATCCACGTGCAGCAAGCCTGAGCCTGCTTGGGGGTAGGTAGAAGCCAACGCTGCCCCTTCAATCATGGAGCTCCAAGACGCAGTCCCCGAAGAAGGGGTGGTTCTTCAACCGTTGTTCAATTTTAGCACGTCATTTTCGGCTACCTCCGATGTCTCTAATGTAGCAAGTACTGGTAGGAACTATTTGATCAACCAGGTGGTGTCCATAAATCTTGAACATGTTTGGGCTGGGGCTGACCAAGCAAGGCTCACAGCGGATGCTTTCCAAAAACCGGCCAGATTGAGAAAACGTCCTATACGTGTGGTGGGCGCGTTAGCGCGACGCGAAGCTGCTCACACGCGTGCAGTACGATCAGAACGGCTGACAGAGGTGGCAGCACCGGCCTAAAAACAAACATGGGTGGCAAGTTGATTTGGAATGAATGTGGGAGCCAACAGAGGTTGAAGGACCCTGAAGCCTATCCCATAGGTACCCCAGTAAGGTCCTATAAGGTCACTTAACCTCTCTTGGAGAACTTGGAAACTACTTTTTTACAGTGGACCTTACCTCCAATGACTCCATCAGCCCAATTTGCTGTGTCTTCATGGGCTCTTGAGGCTCCATATCTCAAGAACACGGGGGGTGTTTAGTATTTGCAGTCGCTTCCAGGAATGGGTCCGATCAACTTCATGAGGCATGCGGTCCAAACCAGCCCAGAATTTGAGGCCCAGAATGATCTCTTGAAGTCCAAACATCGCTCTCGACCCAACGACCTGGAAATCACACCATCTAATTGCCTGGTGGCCATTCACGTGCCTCCTTTCCACCAATCCCTGGAAGAGCCTTGAAATCCTTCCTCTATCCACCAGTCCCGGTCCCGGTCGCTCTGCTGGCTCAACTCGCGGGAGACACACTGTCGGCGGCTCGCCATGGCCATGGGCGGCTCTGAACTCCAGGCCGCTGAGAGAAGTTCCATGGGGCGAAGCTCCAGCGGCTTGACCACCGGGTAGAGGGTTCATGCAGGTTTCAATCTGCCCGTCCTGTTAAGGACCCTTTCTTTGGGTCCTTTTGGCGCTTTTGGGGGGGTTTCAGTCCTGAGGGCCCCAGACTTTCAGTCCTCAAAAGCCCCACCAGCTTCCGGTGGACTCCTCGCAAGCGTGGCTCAGGCGAACTCGGGGTGGATTCCCTTCAGAGTAGAGCTTGTAAAAGCCTGAAAGCCTGGCTTGCAAGGGCTGCAAGAGCTTGGTAGATGATCTTGAAGAAGATCCGGTAGACCTTTGTAGAGATCTTGGATGTTTTCTGTGTGGGAACATGTGGGAACGCGGTGAGGAATGCAGGTAGTGAAAAGGGACATTAAAGGAACACCAATGAAATCTCAGGTCCTTCTAGACTACAGTACTTGTTGAGTCATTGGAATCCCACCAACTGCTTGGATTCCTAGACTATAGACCCATGAATTCGGACGGAACGTGCCCGATGCCAATGGACTCCACGTCACCCTTGGCCGACGCAGGGGACGTTTCACCAGCGGCCCATGTGGACACAGACGCTCGGTGAAGATAGGGCGACCGAACCGGTCGTCGGTGAAGATGGAATGCACCGGGGCGCCCGGAGTTGGTGACTCCAGGAAGCTGTTGGTGCAGGTTTTGGGGCTTTGGAAGGCGTGTTGGTGCCTTTAATAAAGCTGTTGGCAGGAACACAGTCTAACATTTTTCGAACCATGACTTCCGTTATTTGACCTTTCAATTCATTCTGTGTGTTTACGTTTTTAATCTCCCACTTTTTCTCATATTTTTCACCACTCAGCACCATTCAGCACCTCTTGAGCCTTCGTCATCTCGACACCTGGCCACACCCCCCCGACAGACCACGCAACGCCTGCAGGCGAGATGCCACAAGCTTGGCCCAAACCACGCCCTTCCAGCGGCATGCGGCTGCCGGGCTTCCATCATCAGACCCTGGTTGTGGATTATTTTCGGTGTTGGAGTGGCAAGAAAGGGCGGGGCAATATGTCGTTTTTGTTGAGTTGGAGTGACTGGTTGGTGGCTTACCTTTAGAAGAGCAAGCAGGCGAAGCAGGCATCTTTCTTGCGTTTGTCCAGCGGATCTGTCGCTCGAGGCTTTCCATGCCATGCTTTCTTGGGCTTGTGCACCCCGAAAATTCCAAGGTCGTGATTCTGGGTCCTCCGAGACATTCCGGGATGAGCATCTCTCAATTCACTTGGCTGTCGTGTAAAGAATTAGGGAGACCTATCAGGCGTTCCGACCCCCTGGACCAGTAGAAGGTTCGGAAACTCGACCAGTCTACCCATTGTGCCAGGGTGTCTATACCTGTTACAAAACAAACCCCAGGAGTCGCGTTTCCACCCACTGTTTTTTAGTCCCCATCCAGTGAGTGGATGGGTTGAACCCTATCCTCCAATGGGCGCATTGGCTCCAACCCCGATCGCGCGTGGCCTTCACCTCCACAGCTCCGAGGCCGTGCCGCCCCCGTCGAAGCACTCGACCTCCCGCCGGGCGCCGGGAGCGACGGTGCAGATGGACACGGCGGAGCGACAGGAATATTGGAGCGCTCTGAAGAGTATGGCGCCGCCCTCCTGTGACATCCGACAGGCGGAAAACGATGAGAGACTGGGGGAAAGGACGGACATAACTCTGAAGAGTGGAAGTTGGAAGTTGGAGCATTTGGGAGCACTCAGAAGCAGGTTCATGGTAAATACTGCACAGAACGTCAGTAGTTAGGAGATCTGGGATGAAAAACAGAAGGTTTGGGGCGCTGCTGAAGCCCTCAACAGAATCCGAAATCGCAGTGAACAAACGGACCTTTCAATCGAAAGTGATAACATGGTCGGGTCATCCACGATACTGTATTCCTACAAATTAATATGCAATATAACAATATATATAGTATAGCCATTGGTACATGACCTTTATCAACATCGTGCTACATCTTGGAAGATTACTTCTGAACTAGCTGAGGGAGGTTTCCAGGAAGAGTGATACTTCATATTCCCGAAGACATGGGGCATGACCTGGAAGATTGCTGTGTTCTACAACCACAACGCTTTCCGCATCGATATTCTTGCCAACCTTTAAAAACACTACGTACATATTACATCATGTTAGTTACTCTTTTTAAAGAGTCAATCATAATATGCATAAAAGACAAACACATGTCTATACACACCTACTGCATCTCTCACACATCAAAGAAAGTTCTTCTGACTTGGTCAGGTGGACCGGAAGCGGCACGAGAAGGCCATCAGCTATCGCTTCTCCAGCGCCAGTCCACGCGAGCGTCCAGGTGCCCCACGCGAGTCCCGGTCGCAGGGCAGCCTGGAATGCCGCTGGTCGAACGGAGCTCCATCCATCCGACGCGAGGACCAGGGTGCGCGCATGCGCGCGCGCGCGCATGTGGTGTGGCTAGCTGTGGGTGATGTGTGCTGGAGTGGTCCTTCTCCCTTAGCCCCGGGCGATGCTAGTAGCCTCTTGTTCTTAGTAGTAAGGCCAGGAGCTACTAGTAGCGTCCTTGCTCCTAGGACTCCTAGGTTACTAGTAGCTTCTTGTTCCAGGGAAAAATTCTGCTTTCTCACATCTCCACGTTCACATCTCTTCACATGGCCTTTGCTCCAAACAAGCCTTCAGAGGAATACTTCGAAATGGCCCAGCCTTTGGTGCAGTTTTCGCCTGAGTGCTCTTGGCACTATGAAGTGATGGAGCAGCGTAAGGATGCCAGGGAGTACGCGAAGCTTGGAGTACGTGGCGCGAGAGGTTGATTCGTAGGTTTTACATGGCTTTAAATGTAAAATGTATTTGGAGTACATGGCTTTACATGGCTTGGAGTACATGGCTTTGATTCGTAGGTTTACACAAATCGATTCCAGGAATTTTTGAGGAGTTGCGGCATTTGAAGTGCACTTGGCGTGCAGGGAAGTGTAGTTGCAGTATTGAGCATCAGGGGAGAAGACCAGAGGCACTCCGACCTAGCCTTGCCAGGACTTGATTCACCTCTTTTGATCTTTCTTGGCGAAGCTTTGGATCCGTAGATCATGGTCAACACATGTCAACACAAAAAGGGCACCAAAAGGAGTCCGCCCACTCGCCGTGCATCGGACTCCACCACCGCCCCTAAGCTTCCCTCAGGAAGCTGGTGGGTCGTCCCACTTCAGATCGCCCGCGGGTCCACGGAGCTTCGCCGCGCCGTGGACCCGAACGTCCCAGCTCCGCCAAAGCGAGCTCAGCTCGGGTGACGCGGCAGCGTTGGAATCTCCAGGTTGGGTTGCTTCTAGAGCCTAGGTGAAGACTGTTGATTCAATCTCATATGAAGAGGTAGAAGAGCTTTTACAATCCACATGGCGAGGGGTTCCTCAGCCTCCGAATTCCTCACGCTGGTCCCAAAGCCGTGCTGCTCCTCGAAGCCACACGAAGCCTGGTCGTGGTGGAAGCCGTCCATTCATCGACTTCTCCGAAGAAAGCCTTCTCCTTCAAAGCCCAGCGAGGCCGAGAGAAAGGACATCCTATAGGATCCTTATGGGTTGGGGCCGCTAGCATTAAGAGTTCGGAAGCCTGCAGGTGAGGAGTATTTCCAAATATTTTTTGTAATGGATTCTTTATACATTGGATATGATCTGGGTTTACAGTTTTTAGAACCTTTTTATGAAGCCGCAATTGGATTATGCGGTGCTGTTGGGTGCTCACTGTGCCCTTCCGAACCCTTCCTGTGACCATATTGCCGCCCCTGGAAGATCTCAAGGATCCGGTTTTGGGGCTCAGTCCCCTAGAGGCCCGACACCAGACCCACACCCTTGTGCAGAGTGCATTCTTCCCCATAAACAAAACCTGGAGCTCTGGAGCCCCCGTATTTTTGCTGCAAAAGCAAATGTATCAACTTAAATGCATATTGTTGGAGAAGGGTGCAAATTATATAAAAGCCATAAAACACACCGTGTGTTATGTTTTTTGTTTTTAATGTTCTTTTTTAGATACGATTTACACCCTTCTTCAACTTTTCAACCCATATAACACTACCAATCTGCCCAAACCATCAAAACACATTAAACAATGTTTCTGTTTTTTTAAATGGTTTGCACCCTTCTCCAACAATATGGTTTTAATGTGGATTGTTTTGTGGCCTTTTTCAGGCCCTATGAGGTGAGGCGAATCACGTGCCAGACATACCCAAGTGTGTTGCCTGGGGGCCTAGGGCCCACATATTTCTAAGTTCTGTGACAGGTCTGAGAGCTCCTACATGAGAGTTTCCATGCCCACCGCCAACACATTCTGCTTATTTCAGCCCCGGAATGCAACAAAAACACATAAATTCAAATTTAGCCTGTTTCACAACCATAAAACCATACCTTCAACCTGTAAAAACAATTAAAAAACAAAAACTACTCCTGGAAATGAGCCCTGTGTGGAGTTTTTTATGAAATCCGAACGCTAGCATGCTGGTGGCTGAAAAATCCAAACAACCTGCGGCTCCCCCCAGTCGCGCTGAGGCCAAATCTGCGCAGTCGCCCAACCCTCGGCTCCTGCCACTGGCCCGGCGCTCACCAGTCCCACCGGCGCCGCGCAAAGCGGACGTGGCGGCGTCGCCGATTACGGCGCCGGTGCCGCCGGGCTTCGATCCGCGTGAGAAGATGCTGAGTGACTTGAAAGTGATGGCAGCTTGGCTTGGCAGAAGTCAGGGCCTTTAGGAGCGCAGGATTGCCCAGCTGGAAAAACATGGTGGTTAGTTACAGTATTGTGTATTATTGGATGCTGGAGGCGGGAAGTCGATCAAGATTAGATGGTGCGTTGTGAACACCTGAAGAAATCCACCGTCAGACTAGGCGTTCCACAGGAAGTCTGAGATGGTGATCTAGTGTCCCTGGTCTAGATATTTCATGTTGATGCGGGTTGCGACTGTTTGTGCTGGGAACCGTTGCCATGTTGATGCCAATGGATTGAATCAGACGGAGAAAGGATGAGGTCCTCATGCGGGAAGTTCATTCTTGTTGGCAAGGACTGAAGTGTCGCGACACTAATCCTCCTACAGTAACAACATGTAACAACTTAGGGGTACTTCATTAGGGATTGATGACTTTTTGCGTTTCCTGCGGTCAGATTCCATGTCCGTCCCTCAAACAAGATTGCAGCTGTACCATTCGAGGTGCCATTGAAGGGGTCACCGAATACACCACGTTGGGGCTTTCATTGGGTATTCTTTGAATGGTCCTGGCATACGCATATATTCAATAATTAAGATGTTTTGTTTTGATAGGTTCTCTCAACCCAGTTTTGGAGTCTTGGGTTGGGGATGGTGCAATTCCAGCAGGGCCTTGCCACTTACATCTCACAGACGAGCAAAGTGTCTCGCCGGTGGCCAAGAAGCAAGGATACATAGAGCAGGTGATCCATTTACTGGACAGAGCTTGTAAGCCCCCCGCCAGGATTTGGGCCATTTTGGGCCATTTTGAGGGTGGCGCCTGTTGCAGGTGGATGAGCTGGTGAAGCAGAAAAGCGTTTTAGAAAAGCTGCGAGAGAATCAGATGGAGATCCGGGAGGCGAGGAAAGAGATGCAACTTGGATTCCAACGCCCGCAGTCGGTTCACGCGGCCGAACACTGGAAGACAACGGAAGAGAAACCCCGGATTTCAGACTTGTTGAGTCTGCATGAGTACGTTGGTTTCAGAGTAGATGGCACAATCCCCAAAGGTGATTTATATGGGCCTCCATCTAAAGAAGATCTTGGGGTCTGTGCCATTTACTCTGAAACCACTGTATTGACATTCCATCCTATCATGCTAAATTGGATCTGCCTAGGGGGCCCCAAACTTTCCGAGAGTGCGGCAGGAAGAACCCTTGCAGCACCTGCTGGATGGTTCAAAGAGGTTTTGAACCTCCTGTTTTCAGCAATCGGGCAAGTGTCATAAATGGACGGTCAAGACTCAGGATCTGAAGGTACAATTTCAGTCCGAGGATGTCCGAGGTCACTTGATCTCGGAGTCTTAAGCCACCTACCTTGAACTACATCAAAGTCCAAGTATTTCATGCAAGAACGTTGGACAGTTCGTTCAGTTTCGAAAGGCGACTAGTTTTCCTTTTGACCTTGACTAAGTGGGGTGTGCCAGACTCAGACTGAACATGTGGTTCTTTGTTTTGAACATGTCACATTTTTCACTCCAACTGTAACAGTGTTCATTTACGGCCTTCCATTGTCCCAGAAGGTCTTGCCAGGACCAACCGCTGGAGTCAGCGGTCCGATTTCGCTGAGGAGGACCGGCTCGCCTAGCCGCAGTCCCTATGTCTCGACTGCCACCGGCTCTCCTTTGAGCGAGCCGGGCACCCCGGGGACGTTTGGAAGGTGTTGTTGAGACGATATTTTTTGGAGATACCGGGGTTATATGTTGTTTGGTTGGTGTTTACTATTTTTTAATGGTTCAACCCCTATTTGGGCATGGGTACCCAAGCTGACTATACAGTAGTACAGTAATAATTTTTTGAGAAGGGGTTTTGAACCACCATCCAGTTTTGTTGTCTTATTCTTCTTGGTGGAGGGATTTTGGGTGTCAGTCTAGTTTTCAAGACGTTCTTTCCCGCTCCTGACGGGGTCCGGGGCCGGAACCAGCGGAAAGAACAGGATGGCGCACTCCGGCGCGGAATGCCCGAGCTTCTCACCAGAACAGACCAAATCACAAGAATATATTCCGACTATTATATAGTTTCCAGCAATCTTTTTGGTGTCAATACCGCAGTTCTAAATGTTATGTACCTGTGTGTCCCCCCACTGGCCACGGTAGCACTGCCAGGTGCACGGCCAGACGTGTCATTCGCAGCATTGCCTCAACTGAGGCTACTCATGTCGCCCACTTCGACATTCTCGTGAAACTGCCAGGTGGGGAGCGGTGTGGGCCACGATCGCCACGGCATGTGGGTCGACCGTCTCTTGACCAGTCCGCGCAGTTGGGCGATTTCGTCCGTCGATGGCGCCCACGCTTTCGGAGGTCAACCATGTGGTACACCACTGGTGCAGACGACGAATCAGCCGTGATGAGCAAGTGAGGTGGCAATTTCAGAGCACGTCGCCCAACACCCAAAAATGATGATGGCCAGCGTAACCATCATGACACCACATGTCACCTAGTTTCCTCGTCCATTTTCAGGTACTTTGCTTCTTTTTTTGGGCATGCTGGTATGCATGCAGATTGAACAACTGTTGGAGTCAACATCGGGCATGTTCCTGCATGCTGCGCACTTGCGACACGATGGTGCTGGCCGAAGTACTTTCGCCCTTTCCGACGTTTTGCCGTTCCATTTTTGTTTCAATAAAGACCTACCTGCGATCCCAGGCCGTTTGCTTTGAAATTGCCTCGAGGTTCATAGACCTGAACCGGGCCCAAACTCAGGCGAACTGGCCTTGATCCGGCCCCGACAAGATCATTGGCCCTGGTCCAGGATCGATATGCTGGGCTTCTGGATCGGAGTCCGCTGAAACCAACCAATGGTAGGGTGATTCTTTTACCACACGCCACTCCTTTGGAACCTTGAAGCTCATCTGCCAAATGCGTGACGAAAGGGTTCAGAAGCCAATGGCGAGAGCTAGAGGACTCTGCCATCGAATGATGCGTTTGAGTGATCCTCTTTGTTCAGCGCATGCGGCCCTGGGCAGATTGTGGGACGATTGGTCCTCTGTAGCAAGAGATGAGGGTTGAGTAGTACTGCCAGGCTAGCGGCTAGCAGTTTGAGGGCCCAGCTTGCGATCCAATGACACTCGACACGTCCTTTCTTTTGTCTCCAGCCAGGATGGGATTTTTGATCGCTTGCGACCCAGCGCCACCGCGGCACCTTAGGGTATAGAAGCATACTTTATTTATATAGATGTATTTTTGGCTTTATAGCAAATTTTCTTTTTTGTTGTTTCTAATTGTATTCGTAATACATTTTAATACATGGGCTTCATTGCAACAATGCAATACTGTAGTATATTAAACATGTTTCATATCTTCTATAAGAAATGAAACTCTCATTGTATAGCATTCAAACATAGAATATAATATGACCTCCAAACATATGAAGTTTAGACTTATTTGACTTAAACCATACTATAACAACAGATGCAACATATGAAGTACCTCAAATGCTCTTTCTAGGTAAGGGCCAGCCCAAAAAGAAACGGAGGCCAAGAGCCTCATGAGTCTCATGAGTCCATTCCCATTTTTTGCTCTGATTTCTTGGATCAATGCTTCCATCCGTTGAGCCGAACTCTTCCTGGTGGCCCGACCAACGCCAAGGACCGCTTCAGCCGCCCCGAATCACACGACCTGCTTCCGAACGGCGTTCCGTGGAAGCGGAGCCGAGCGGATGACACCGAGCATGGAGCCTCGCGCGACCTCGCTGCAATGCCCAGAAACAGTTGGCTTCGAACGATTTTGGACCCTGCAGGATCTCGTGTGGTTATCGGTCGGGGTGTTATATATTTTGGCTCCCCCCCCCCGCAGATGATGCTTCCCTGTAGCCATATCATAGATCATCACCATAGTAAGAAATTTCTCAGCCTGGATGCCAAACTGCACCCAACACCCCACATGCGAGCCGCAGTCAAGCGATCTTGTCGAGCGATCTTGCTGTAAACATCTATCAACTCTATTGACATGAACCTCGCAAGCTTGCAAAGCAAATGGAGCACGATCCTGTTCATCAATCTAAAGGGTCACGTTCCCCTTGCCCAAGTTGATGCCCTAAGTGGCCCAATGGTATTGTGGTGGAATTTGGTGGACTCCAAAACGTTCTACACAGTCCCTCAGAGGCCTGGCATCTATATAACATCGAAATGTTGGTGGATTCCCACTTGAAGATGTTACAGAGTGTTGGCAAGTTGGCAAGAAGATATATATTCCTTGTATTTCCATCAGCGCGAGCTGCTGTCATCTCCAACTCACATAGCGACTCGACGGTGCGAAAGAGAAGATAAGCGTGGCTGGGCGCTGAAGGGTCGGGAGGAGATCGGAGATCGGGCACAAGAGAAACCATAAGCACTGTTCCTGTCAGGGTCTCCAGTCGAGTGAGTGACTACCTTATTATATATATATATACTTATATATATATATACTGTAACTACTTGCGGATCTCCATTGAGCACCCCTTTCAAGGTCCAGGTGCCAAAACCACTTTACGGCCGAGTAAGTGGTTGGAGACTCGCCAGGCGTATGGAGTGATCGGGTGTGGCGTATGAGTCGCATGATGCCTCAGCTGGGAATTCTTACACCACCAGCTGCGGTTGATCGCCATCAGGGTGTGTGCTTCTTTGTGGTTCTTTCTGCAAGCTTCCACCGCCCGCTTCCCTGTTCAAGCCTTCTGGCACCGACAGCATGACCAGACCATGAATTCTTTGCAGCAGGACTTGACATCCACATCACTGCATCCGACATGTGGTGGATGTCAGATATTGTGCAACATCATTGCCACACATATTATAATATATGTAATGTTCCTGAACCCCAGGTAGTGCAGGCATTCTTCCTTCAACAGTGGCCAGAACTGGATGTCCTGTTTCGCCGCGGTGATCTCTGAATGCCCCGCATCCTAACATATCCCAACACAAGGTCCACACAGACGCAGACGACGCGACCGGTGCCGGTTTCCGTGCCATGCGTGGCGGTCCGCTTTACGTTCTTGCTGCATCTGAAGCTGGGACGGCAGGGGTGAGGATCCAACGGCGCCACCCAAAGATGCCTGAGCTGGCCAGACAGTGAATACAGGTTTCCTCCAAGCCCTGGTTGGTCCGGGAAGCTGGCGATCCAAAGAAGAAGGGTCTCTGAAAAAGAAGTTTCGAAGGTGTTTGGGGGAAAAGGGTGACAGGGGGTCCAACATGGTCTAACTACATTCTACAGATACAGTTGAAGCTGCGAATGTGGTGTGGATTAGTCTGGTCCTGTGTGTGAGTGTGTGTGTGTGTGCGCCTTTCTTTACATATCCAGCATTGGAGCAACCGCCTTGACTATTCTCGACTGCACTCTCGTTGCCATTTCTCTTCCTGTTTTTCACGCAGTGCAATTCGGAAACCCACCAGGAGTTCGCACTCCCGAACTCAGATCGAGGAAGTTGACATCAACAAGTCTGACACATTTGCAGGGTATCGGACCGGATGTGTGATTTCTTGTGGATTGAGTGTCATTTTTCAGATGGACCCCCATGAAAAGAGTCATCGACTGGGGTGCCATCAACGTGAAACCATAAACCTGAAACCACTGAGATCGAACCTGGACCTTCAAAGGTGTGCAAAAAAAAGGAGGTTCACAGCGCAAGTGTGTGGTGTAGTCTATTGCAGACCCGGCGCGTTCTTCCTATCCGAATTTCCTCGTCCGGACTGCGCCGACTTCAGGCGCTATGGCCACTTCACACGGGACAGGCGCAGAAAGCCTTTCCTTTCGAGGCGACTGGATGGGACTCGGTGGGATGCTGAGAGGTGTTTCACGCGCCCAGGATGGCACGGGTCCTTGTCGATCCTTGCGTTGACCTTGTAGGTGCTTCTTCTTGGATTTTGTTGGGGGTTTTGTTGAATTTTTGTAGGTGCGTTTGGGGGTGCAATCTTTTGGCTCTTTTTTTGGTGGATGTAAACTGGTGATGTGCAGGTCTCGGCGCGGTCGCTTGGGCTCCACAGGTCTCGGCAGACTACGATCTCTTCAACCAAGGAAGCGCTGTGAAATACTTCGAGGTGGGGAAGAAGACCATCAAAGATTTTCGCTGGGCAGGGTATAGCGATTTTGCGATTTGGACCGGGTGGCATATGAGTAGCGAACGATTCAGACACGGGTACACTCTTGGATTTTGGGGAGGCCATGGGCCCATTGCAACCACACGCGTATCTTCTTGCCTCCATTCCAAAAAATGTATCTTTCTTTCTTTCGGATACGCCGAGGACGATTCGTCCGTGGCAGACATTGCTGCGTTAATTCCTAATTAAATCAGAAGTCGTTCCGCTCAACTCGACGAAAATCAGGCCCGCGAGGTGCCGATTCGTCAAATCCAGCTCTCAGAGCTTGGACCGCAGACGTAAACCACGGGGGTAATGGTTCACCATGTGTCGGTGGCTGCTGAGCGGAAACAAACCCAAGGCTATAGCCTTGCAAAGGTCAGGAGGATATTCCTTAAGCTTATTGGTCTTCCACTCTCCAGTGGCCTCACGGCCAATACTACTGCCTTTCGGTAGGCGAGTCGTACGGTGTTGAACGAGCGTTTGCTCAAGCTCAGCACAGTGTGCTACCAGAAAAGTGGTCGGTTTAGAAGAGTGTCCTCCAAAATGACCTTGAAGTAGAGTCCGCAGGTGGCACTGCGGAAACTTCAGAAAGAATTTGACAATGGGCAAACGCCAGATTGAGGCGTACTCCGGCATATCATGCGGTTCAGAAGGGTGTTCTATCACTGCAGTCGCACCAAAAATCAGTGCTGTGCAGAACAACCTCAGCGCAACCCCCAGCAGTTTAGTGCCGATGAGCACTTGCTCACTTTCTTTCTTCGTCAAACAGCACAAGCCGTAAGGCCGTACCCTACTTCGTACAGGTCTCACATGGTAGAACTCTGACAGCACGGCCCTCGCTCTCGTCCATGTCTCGCATGGCGGGCCGGCTAAAAATCCGCGAAGGATTCTCTGTCGGATGGCTTTGTCGAACATCGAAAACGTCTCTGGGTTGAGTAAATCACCCCATTTGACATCGCAGATTATGTCTATCGAGATTGCGGTTGCTCCAAGATTCCCAAGATTCTCCAAATGTTGTTGAACGTCTCCTGCTCTTCTCGTCCCCGCAAAAAGATGCGCGAAGACACAGGGCCTATACTTTACTGTCCCTGGAACTGACAGGCAGACTTGTTGTAGACCTTGCGCCTCATGGAAGAAAAATTCCTCAGCCTTTGCATGGTGAGGCGGTGTTTGTACTGCATCGTGCAGAAACCACTCCCCAGAGGCGTTAAGCAAGAAAGTATCTCCCACATGCAAACAAGCAAGGCAAACTGCTTCATCCGCCGGTGAGTGTTGCCACCAGAGGGCAAATTCCGCCTTGATTTCATCTGGAAAGAGGTGAGTCTGACAGGTCGCCCTA